AAATAATATATATATACACACACATACAAATCCATAACAAAATGCTAGCGAACCAAATCCAGCAACATATGATATAAAGAATTATACACCATGACCAAGTGGGGATTATCCCAGGAATAAAATTAATTGCTTATCTGCAAATAAACCTTTGTTCTTTGAGCTCCTTGTGCATAAGAACCCTAATTTATTCATCTTTATATCCTCGGTGACAGGCCAATAACAAATGTATGTCATTCTCATTATAAATAACACATCCATCCCCACCCCTGCCTTTATTTCTTTAAACTGCTTTATTTTTCTTTGTGTCAATTTTATCTGGAATTATGTATATTTTTGTTCCCTGCTACAGTCCCAATGCTCAGGGAAACTTAACACGTTGACAAGTCTTCAACAAATATTTGTTTAATTAATGACAGCAACTACATAAATGCTAAATTCTAAATTCTGTTCCTAAATTGTAAGTCATTACTCACCTGAGTTCTTCAGGTTTTGCTGTACTTGCTGACAGAGGAAAAAAAAGAAAATGTCCCATTAGTTTCCGCTTACATGGTAAACTGCTTAACTATTCATAAAGTAAATCTAGGGAGTTTTTAAGCCATATTTCCCAATTATAGATTCAAAAACCGTCATTTCACAAAATGTTCTAGGATTCACATCATTAAAATCAATAATGACAATTACTTCCATTTTTAAAACAAGCAATAAAATAACATCTTTTAAAACAGAACCACCTGCAAGCCTCCTAGAGTGAGGTGACAATAAAACACTGTCAGTGGAAAATAAGAGGTAACTCAGGGTTTCAAATCACCACGAACTAAAATGGTCTCATTAAAAGCTATGTATTCTTTAATTTATAGTAATACCAAACAAAAATTATGAATATAAATGAGTTTTTTATGCCAAACATCAGGTCACGGCAGATGTTTCTGGACAACTGGGATGACCCTAGTCAGACATACTAAAAACTCAACCTGTACTTTAATACTAACTCAGATTCAAAACCAACCATAACTTTTAGTTTCTCAAGTAAATCATGCTTTTTATTACATGAAGTTAAATATATATTGATGTTTAAATTTAAACACTATTTTAAAGAATCCTAATATTATAATACTATATGAAATAATTTTTACTTAAAATTTATTCATCCTATACCAATGTTTTTTTTTTTAAGTTCTTAAGGGCATTTAGGAGATTATTATTAATGAAATCTGGAAGTCGAAAAAAGAAGGGAAAGTGTTACTCTACAGAACTAAAATAGTTAATATGAACAAAAACCGAACACAAACTCAAAATAGTACCTGAATTGGGATTAACATAAAGTTTAATCTCAACAACAATACAGGCAATTTTTCTTTCTATTTTTTCTTTTTTTAAAAAAGGATTTTATTTATTTATTTATTTGAGAGAGAGAGAGAGATCACGAGCAGGGGGTAGGGGTGGAGGGAGAAGCCGACTCCCCGCTAAGCAGGGAGCCTGATGCAGGACTCAAACCCAGGACCCTGAGATCATGACCCGAGCTGAAGGCAGACGCTTAACCCGAGCTGAAGGCAGATGACTGAGCCACCCAGGCACCCCCTTCTATTTTCTTATATTGATTGTGTCATAACCAAAGTTATTAAGGGTACTTCAGTTGACTGGAATTAACTTAAGGTTGAGATAACTTCCTTTCAAGTAAACATTTCCAGCACATGATGGACTATCAAGGAAGAATAGTCTTTTGAAACAAGGTTGCATCTCACCTTTCATTTGTAGAGTTCGTCTAGAGTATCGTTTGCTGGGTCTTCTTTCAAAGGATGTTGATCTTCTTGGTTTATTGGTTTTTGTGGTCTGATATTCAGTTTTTCCACTAAAATAAATGAGGCATATTAAGAGGAGTAAGAGAATTTGAGGCTACAGTAATCAGATACCTATGAGAGAAAGTCTACATTAAGTTAGTCCTTAAACGAACCATCCTGAGCTTCATCCTGAAGTAACTACTACTAATAGCCTTGATGTCTCTCTTTACCACATCATTTTTCTACTCTTTAGGCTTGTGTGAAATATGCAACATGAAAATTATATTGTTTTTTCCTAAGCATGCATGTGCCTAGGAACGTATTGAATAACTTTGGAATATCTGTATCTTATGCAACTCCTTTCCTCTCCCCATTCACTCACCTCATGCAGTTTGCTATTAACTCAAGATTTTGTTATTTTTTTCTAATTGTGATACACTTTTCAGAAACTTCCCAGAAATATTTAAAACTATTTTCCCACTCTCTTTGATTTTCATTCAAATTTTCTTAAGAAATGCCTCCTCACTTTTAACATAGGTAGAACAGAAGCTCTACTTTCATGAATTCCACACAATCAACTTGCCACAATATTGATTATTATCCATTTGTTTTTTAAATCACAGTGACTCTCGGGGCATGTTGAAAACTCATAATCAATAATCTACTCTCAGGTAAACCAAAACATTTTTAACTTATGACCAACACACAAGGAGTCCATAAAAATAACGTAACTTCAGGTTTATAAAGGACCAGAAATGTTACCCAGGATTAATTTTCCTCTCAGTGCAGAACAAATACCCTTTTTCTATATGGCAGTCAGCTATTGCATGAAGACTCCTTAAAGCTCTTGTTATATGAATTTAATCTGGGGGTTAATCTATAAAGTAAATGTTAAGAGGAATATAAAATCCGTGATACCAGTATAATGCTTTCCTGTCTATTCAGGAAATTACAACCAATAACAATACCACTTTGTCTTTTATTTTGGTCAGTGAAAACACTGGCAAACCACTTTGTTTCTCTATGCCTTGGTTTCTACATCTGTAAAATGAGAAGTTGGCCTAAACTTCTTGGCTTTATGAAAGAACATAAGATATAGCAAGCAGCTATTGACATTCACCTATATCTAAATCGTGATCCTAGTCGAATAAATCCCGATCGATGAGAATTCTTTTGGACCGGGCCTCGGAGACGAAAGAATGCATGATGTTCCACAGCACATTTCCATAAATGTTTGCATGCTTTTGGATGATCCAATCGAAAGACAAATGTATGTTCCTGCTCTTTGCCCTGAAAAAGAAAAGGATGTAAAGACAGGTAATTATTAGGTCCAACAGTTCTGCCCCTTGTAACTCAGCTACAAATACAACCACAGCAATACCAAGAACCAAATAATAAAGCATCTAGTTTGCTCCCTGAAACTCACTCTCTCTAGCTACCTACGTAAAAAGGCAGAGTTGAAATCAAGCTGTCCACTTTCACAGCCAATATAAAATTATTCCTAAAAGGGTCCTCCCTACTTAAGTGGTCTCATTTCTCAGAGAAACAAAAACTGAGGCTTTGGGATATATATTTATAATGTAAAGGATCATACAAGATCTGGCAATATATAGCAATAAACTTAAAAATGTGCACATTCCTCGTCACAGTAACCATACTCGCAGGAATCTAATGATAATAATTAACATCACAGGCATTTTTCTAAGGATTTCATATGGATTAATTCAATGAGCAGATACTATCATTAGCACCATTTCACAGATAAGGAAACTGAAGCTCAAGAAATAAAGCCCAAGGTCACAAAGAGGAAACCAGAATTTGAACCTAACTATTTGTCCTCCAGAACCTGTTTGTAACAACTAAGCTTTACCATCTCTCTAAGGTAAAAGATTTTAACACCAAAATTTATACCTATATATTTTCTTCACAATCTCATTTATAATAGTAAAAATTGGCATAAAACCCGAAATGTCCAAGAGAAATTATCAAATAAATAACATCTTTTAAAACTATACAAAAAGATAAATGAATAAAAGATGAATGTACTATTGTTTATTCATATTACAGAATATGTAAGTTAAAATGAATGAACCGGTCTACATGGCTACACCTGTTTAGGTGAAATAAGGAAACTGCAAAAATAAATATATATATATATATATATGATTTATGTAAATTTTCAAAACAATTCCACCATGTATTATGATGTATTTATATTTGGAAAAAGAAAGTATGAGAATGATACCCTCCAAGAATGATGGCCAGCTACAGGAAAGAAAGGGACAAACTAGAGGGTTAGACCTCAGCTATACTGAATAAACTGTTATTAATTTACCTATTTCTAAGAGATAAGTCTGAAGCAGCAATGACGAAAGTGTTAATCTAGATGAGTGACATGGATATTACATTTATGATATTTTTTGTACTTTCCAGTATACTTTCAATATAAGTTAAACTATTCTGTCATTTTAAAATATTACATAAACTCTATATGTAGTTTCCTCATGACTCTGATATAGGCAAAGATTCTTAAATTTTAAGACTCAGAAAGTACCGACCACAATGGAAAAAATTTATGAATTCTATTACTTTAAAATTAAGATGCTCTACCCAAAACATACTATTAAGGGAATCAAAAGGCAAGCCAAGCAGAAGCTACTTACAACACATATGTCTGCAAAGAACTGATGTTCAGAATATATAAAGAACTTCAAGGAGGAAAAAAGCACATGACCCAACAGAAAAATGAGCAAAAGACGTGAACAAGCATAAAAGAGAATACCCAAATATTCAATAAATATATAAATAAGTGCTGAACAAATAATCATCAGGGGAATGCACATGAAAACCACAAAATCATTCTACCACCAGAATGGCTAACATGAAAAAAGAGAGTATCAAACATTAGCAAAAAAAAGAACAAATGGAACTCTCTTATACTGCAGGTGAGAATGTTAACTTGTATAAACACTTTGAAAACAGTTTGGTAGTATCCACAAAAGCCAAACACATGCATATCCTAGTCTTAGCAGCACTCCTAAGTGACGAAAACTAACAACTCAAATGTCCATCAACAGCAGGATGGATAAATAAGTGTGGTCTAGGGGCACCTGGGTGGCTCAGTCGTTAAGCGTCTGCCTTCGGCTCAGGCCATGATCCCAGGGTCCTGGGATTGAGTCCCACATCGGGCTCCCTGCTCCGCGGGAGGCCTGCTTCCCCCTCTCCCACTCCCCCTGCTTGTGTTCCCTCTCTCGCTATCTGTCAAATAAATAAATAAAATCTTTAAAAAAAAAAAAAAGTGTGGTCTATACATAAAATGGAATACTATATAACAGTAAGAATGAGCCAATTATAGCAACCTGCTACAAGAGGGCTGTGGCTCACAAATGCATTGTTTAAATACATAAGTCAGACACAAAGGGAATAGTCAGGTTTCATTTAGATAAAGTTCAAAATATAAACAAAAACCAATGTATGGTGTTAAAGTCAGGAGAACAGTTGTTACCCTTGGAGGCCTGTACCTGGTGGGAGGCACAAAAGAGAGCATATCATTCTGCCAGTGTTCTATTTTTTTCTCCATCTGGGTGCTGGCCATACAGGTGTTTGTGAAAATCCAACAAGCTGCACACTTGTTTTTGTATGTTACACTTCAATAAAACTTACCAACAAAAAATACACACAGAAAAAAACATGGGAAAGCGTATAACCTCAAAGCAGGAAAAATCCTTGAAAGACTGCCTTGAAAGATTGATAAATTTGCCTATTTAAAATTTTTTTGTGGTGCCTGGGTGGCTCAGTCATTAAGGCTCTGCCTTTGGCTCAGGTCATGATCCCAGGGTCCTGGGATCGAGCCCCACATTGGGCTCCCTGCTCAGTGGGAAGCCTGCTTCTCCCTCTCCCACTCCCCCTGCTTGTGTTCCCTCTCGCTATGTCTCTGTCAAAAAAATAAATAAAATCTTTAAAAAAAATAAATGTTTTTTAAGTACATGGCAAAAATCATAATAAGGAATGTTAAAAGACAAACAACTATTAGATAAAATATTTACAGTTTCTATGACAAAGGGTAAAACCAGTAAGAAAAAGGCCAAATGACAAAATGTGCAAAGGATATGTATGAATAAAGAGTTTGGAGAAAAGGAAATACAAAGAACTCAAATGTATGAAAAGTTGTTCAATATCACTCATAATAACAGCAATAAAAATCAAACCTACAATGAAATTCCATTCTTCACCTTCCAGATAAAAATGTGACAACTTACTCTGAGGAAAGAGGTTTCATCTTTGATAGGATCTCTGTACCCAGGACAAATGCACATTTGAACCAGCAAATCCGCCTGCAGGAAATTATCCTACAGACACTTGCCAATGTACAAATTCATGCATATGTAGTGAATGTTAACTGAGAATTTATTAAATAAATTAGGGTACACCCATACAGTAGAAACTATGCAGTTTAGTTTGTTTTTTAAACAAGAACAAAGAAGCATTCTAGGGCGCCTGGGTGGCTCAGTCGTTAAGCGTCTGCCTTCGGCTCAGGTCATGATCCCAGGATCCTGGGATCGAGTCCCACATCGGGCTTCCTGCTCAGCGGGAAGCCTGCTTCTCCCTCTCCCACCCCCCTGGCTTGTGTTCCCTCTCTCACTGTCAAATAAATAAAATCTTAAAAAAAAAAACAGCATTCTATATAGTCATATGGAAGATTCCAGAAGTTATAATGTGAAGTTTAAAAAGAATTAGTACAGAACAGTCTAAAGGCATAGTAACTTCTGTATAAAAAAGAATTGATATACACATTTGCGTGTGTGTGTGTATGCGTGTATAAAATACCTTCAAAAAGAGATCCAAAAGGCTAATACTATGTAAGATCAAATCTAAAATGCCACTGATGGTAAGATGCACAATTATCTTATGGCCCAAATGAGAACAAGTGTCACCAATTATGACCATATTTCCTTATCACATAGAATTATATTTTATTCTTCTTGAGGACTGCCTTTAGGTTTAGAGACAAATATCACTGAATCACACAATGCTTACATAAAAAGGAAAATATCTGTAAAATAAGTTTTTAGATATGAAATCTGCCTCTTCTGAGTCATTGTCAATTCATTTGTTGATAATATAATGATCATCCTCTGTACCATCAATAGATTTCCTTTTAAAATGCTCTATTGCCTCTTTGATTTCCTTCTAAGCTGTGTGACGGGGCAATCCTTTGCATATATCTTGGTGATAAAACTTGAAACTTGGGCACCTGAGTGGCTCAGTCGTTAAGCGTCTGCCTTCGGCTCAGGTCATGATCCCAGGGTCCTGGGATTGAGTCCCACATCGGGCTCCTTGCTCGGCAAGAAGCCTGCTTCTCCCTCTCCCACTCCCCCTGCTTGTGTTCCTGCTCTCGCTATCTCTCTCTCTGTCAAATAAATAAATAAAATCTTTAATAAAAAAAAAAAAAGAAAGAAAACTTGAAACTTGCATAATTACTGTTTTAATTTTCAGAATCTTCTTTTAGGTTCTCTGTTAAGTAGTCCTTCTCACACACCATGTGCATCCAAGTCTTTTTGACATTTGCCCAACTTGCTTTTATCTACATCCATCTACATGAATATATGTTTTTCAATTTATTTCTTTGCATGCAATAAAGTTACTTTTATTTATTCATAATTCTGCGAGTTCTGACAAATGCATGGAGTCTAGCAACTACCACCAAAATCAGGTTACAGAATAGTTCTCTCATGCCTCCAAATTCTCTATGCTGTTCCTTTGTAGGCAGGCCTCCCCATTCTCCCTAATCCCAAACAATCAGTGATTTGTTCTATTACTACAGGTCTGCCCTTCCCAGATCGTCATATAAATGAAACCATACAAGTCATTATCTTCTGAGTCTGGCTTCTTTCACCTAGCATAATGCATTTGAGATATCCATCCATGTTGTGGGTATCAATTAGGAGCTAGAGTTAACAACAACAACAAAAAAAGTAATCCTTAATTTAGAAGGCTTTACTAAAGATTATTAGACTTGAGTTACCACATAACATCATCATTGTTTAAAAAGTAATGCATCTTTGTCTCTCTCAAATAAATAAAATCTTAAAAAAAAAAAAAAAAGTAATGCAAAGTTCCTACCTGATCATCATCTTCTACAACCACCAGGGTTAATTTATTCTTCTTAAAATCCAATCTGGTTATCTTGGGCCTATAACAATATCAGAATAAAAGCCAGATTTCAAGTAAATGTCCTCTAAATTAAAAGAAAATGTTTGTTGTTACTTCTAGCATATTAATCATCTAACTGCTGAAATGAAAACTGGTAAGAGGATAGACATAACCTGTACTGCCCACCAACAAAGCCTCTAATCTAAAAAATATTTAGGATAACAGAAAAAAACATTTCAAAAGCAGTATCTCTAATAAAACCAATGCTGCACATATATCAGACATTAAAAATGTTAAGAAAAAAAGAAAATGAGGAAATCCATACATATATTTTATAGGCTGCCAGCTATGGTACAAGAGATTCTCAAGGCCTAGTGTAAAGCACGAACATAAGAACTAGATATAGAAAAGACTATAGAGCTTTGTTAAAAGGCATAAAGGAAAACAAATTCTTGATTAGGGCCTTCAACTCTATTTTCTGTATCAATTTTGGTTTGAGAAGTACATCTATAATCTTATAAAAAAAAAATTTTTAGGGCGCCTGGGTGGCTCAGTTGGTTAAGCGACTGCCTTCGGCTCAGGTCATGATCCTGGAGTCCCGGGATCGAGTCCCGCATCGGGCTCCCTGCTC